TAATTGATAGTTGAGTGACTATCAAAGTTATTAACTCAGGATTTAAAGTGGTGTAGATTTACACTGATTTATTAACAATTGATTTTGTTTCTTGGACTTTGTACCTTGATAAAAATTATATTTCTAATTTGTTTCAACAGTGAAAATCGTGGTTTATTGGTGAAGTTATGGGAGATAGAACTATAGTTCAATGTGATTATTTTCAATGTTCAATAGTAATATTATATACTACTTTTTATATTATAGTCGAGTGGTAAAAATGAAATTGAGTTATTTGCTAATTTTTAAAAACTAACGATATAAATCATATTTATAAAAAGTATATTCAAATTATAAAAATAATAATTCATATACTACGCCAAACACAACTTTAACTTCAAAAATTCAAACAAAGTAAATTGATTTTAATTTGTATGATTACATTTTTATTAACTTTATTTATGCACACTTAATAGAAGTCTGAATTAAATAGAAATATGTTTATTTTTATTAAGATGTTTACACTTGATTGATAATGAAGTAGTAATTAAGATGAAGTAATTCCAACTCCTTGCCAAGCTTGACTATCCCAATACAATGGGCGCTGTAATTCCAATTTTACCCTTTCCCCTTCTCAGTTAGCCTTCTTCCCCATCATTTCACTTCTCCTCAACCATGGATTCCACTTTTTCTGCTCGGAATCCATAAACCCGAAAAAATGAAGAAATTTTGAAGAAATTAAAACCAAATTAATCAAATAAACACACTCAAGAACAAAACAAAATCAAACCCCTTTGATTCTTATTTTGTGTAATTCGTTTTTTTTTTTCGTGTGAATTTTTTTGAGAGATTTTAATATGTATAGATCTGGAACAGTGATGGCTTGGAACGTATTCAGATTCTGTACGGCCCTAAGAGGACTGGGATCAATTATGATCTTGTTGGTCCTAGGCGTTGTCGGTGTTACATATTACGCTGTCGTTTTGACCAGCTATGGTCCCACCCTCATCAGTGGCTCTGGAATCTTGGATGCCCTCATCGCGCTTGCCGTACTTGTCTTGTTCCATTGTTTGGTAAATTTCTTGACTTCTATTGTATTGGGGTTTCCTTAATTGATTATTGGTTTTAATGGGTGGAAAGGAATTTTTATGTATGTGGGGGTTGTGAGGAAATTGGAAAGAATGTTCTTTTTGGGTGTTTTATTTGACTGAAGTTCTTTGAGGAGAATGCTGCTAAATGGTGTGGATGTATTGGGTTTTGATAGGATGTACGAGCATATTCTTGGGATTTTTGTAAAGTAAGGTACTTGAGAATATTAGTTTAATTTTTTTTATGTATCATGCTTACTTGAATTTACATTAGAGTGTTTAGCTTCGTCAGAAATTGATGATAGTGTAGGGATAATGTGTGAGATTTACAGAATCCGATATGTTTCACAGAACTCCTAATTTGTCCTGAAAGATAAATATTGAGTAGCGAAATGAAACACGGTCAAATGGAGTGGATGTTTAGTGTTATCAAATGCTCAGTTTGAGTCACGTGTAAGCTAAGTTGCTCGGACTCTTCACTTTTGGTGTCGCACCCGTGTCGACATGACATGGGTGTGGGATCCGTGTCTGATTTGGTCAACCAATTTTGGGTACTTTGACCAAAATCGGCGGGGAAATTCTGGACAATTTTAACGAATTTTGTAATCAATACAAAAGCTAAAATGAAATTGAAGGAAATGGAATATATTTTATATAAAATTTCTATGTCACTCCTTTTCCTTTGATCTCCTTCCAGGATTCTCCTCAAGTTCTCCACATAATATTTCATAATTTAGGTTTTATAACTCTATTGTTAGATATTTTAATTATTTTTAGGCGAATCTCCACACCCGTATCCATACATGCAGGGGCGGTTGGTATGAGTTAAAAAAAAGTCATTGGCCTTAGGCCCCCAATTTTAGGGGCCTCATTTTTTAGTTAATTAGGTAGGATTAAACTTTAAAAAAAATAAAAAAATTAGAACTAAGACAATAAATACAAACGGCATTAATGAAGGGATGGAAATGACAATTACTTTTTACCTTTTCAATAAAAAGTTGTGTACTTTTTTTTTTTTAATGTACAAGTTATCTCTTTTTTTTTTTACCTTATTCTTTTTTTAATTTTATTTTTATATATTCTATCCTCCTCTCTTCCTATCTTCTATTTTTTCTCTCTCTTATTCAAAGTTTAAAAATTTACTTGTTCTATTGATAGTTTATATTTTAAATTTATAATTTTTTAAATATTTTTTTAAGGCCTCTAATTTGATTTTAGCCTTAGGCCACCAACGGGTTTGAGCCGCCCCTGCATACATGGATCCATATCTCCGAATCTTAAAAATTAGATCATGAAGTGTCCAACCTTTAGATCCGCACCCCTATCGGACACTCGCACCAGTGTCCAAGCAACTTAGCGTGTAAGCACTAAAGCTAAGTGCAAAATAAGCTGAGCTTTTCACGCGTTTAGATAACACTTAAGTTAAGGCACCAAAGCCCCTAAGGCACGTGCCTCATCATGCATGGGCTCTGTCTTGAAGAGGATGACTTCTAGACAATAATTATTCCATTGAGAACATTTTTTTTTTCAATTCATTTGTCGATATATATGTTGTTGACACTAAAAGGGTAGGAGGATTTATATAGCTGGCCCCAACTAGTTTGAGATTGAAACATACTTGTCCGCAAATTTCATTTTGTAGGTTAGATTGCATTGAAGAATTCTAAGTTTCTCTTTTAGACGGTAAATTTTCTCGACCAATACTTACCGAACACCAATTGATATGGGGACATACAAATCGGGGTCTTGAATGCAGTTCTATACGCCCAAAGAGCGTCATCTAACTTCCCGGACCAATCGGATCGTAGAAGGTATCAATAATCGTGCACACAAGATATACACCTTCTATGTCAAGTTAGGTCATGTTAAACATTTAGAAGACGATCATAGTTAATGCAAAATGCCAATTATTGAAGAAGCTCTCCGGGATAAGTCTTTTCACGTCGATGGAGATCGACAATACACTTGCGATACTTGGCTGTCATTCACAGAAAGTATCTAACAAAATATGAGTTTGATTCGATCTCGTTAGCATAGAGATGATATTCCTTGCTTGTGATTATATAATCATTTATTCACAAACTTTACGTGGGAAAAGTAGTGTTCATTAACCATCATGGAAAATCTTATTCTCCACTTAGAAATTCTATATCTTCTAATTTTGGAATTTATATAAAAGTCAAATGAGGCTATGGATGCATAGTGATCTATACTCTGTAGCTGAAGGAGTTGTTCTTTAATAACTGCAGTTGGTGATGCTTTTGTGGAGTTACTTCTCTGTCGTTTTTACGGATCCTGGTAGTGTACCTCCAAATTGGAAGCCAGACTTGGATGAAGAAAGAGATGACACTGATCCATTAACCGCATCTGAATTTGGGGCTTCACCAGCTGATTCAACCAACCCAAGAGTACGGTTTTGTAAAAAGTGCAACCAGTTGAAACCACCTCGGTGCCATCATTGTTCTGTTTGTGAGTTCTTGTTATGCACCTTCTGTGACGATTTTTGTTTCTGTTTTTTTTCAATTTGAGATTGAGCTGTTCATGTTTCCGTGTTTTAGGTGGAAGATGTGTGTTAAAGATGGACCATCATTGCGTGTGGGTTGTCAATTGCGTTGGAGCACTAAACTACAAGTATTTCCTTCTTTTTCTGGTAAGCTTCACTATTCTTATAGTTGATAATATTCTACTATCAGCAACCTTAGCAAAATTGATAGGGTACCAGCAAATATGAAATTTCTCTGTGGTTTTTCTGCACCGACTGCTCTCAGCCTTTGCTGTTAGCTGTCTATTCTAATAGCTACTATCCCTTCTGCTATGCAATTTATTCCTTGTTGCACTGTTTGCACCCTTTTCCGTATTTCGATGGATATACCACAAAGTTGTAAAGGTTTTATTTTCGACCAACTTCTTAAGTTAAACAGACAGTAGAAAAGAACTGCGACTGGAAAATCATATTCACCTATTGATCCAACAGTGCACAATCATGAGGAGCTGTGACTTCTTTTATCCAGCTAGTTGTACAAGTGTGGAAAGAACTGGCTATTTTCATTTGGAAGATCTGACAAACCACTTAACTTGCATTAATTTCAAAGCATTATCATATTTAAATATATTGTGACAATAGCGAGGAATTATTTTCAAATTTCTGTAACCTTGTTCTTTGCCAAATTTTACTTTTCCTTTTATATTACCAACTCTGCCTGTGTGAGCTTTGCATAGTTGGCACCAAGACTGGATAAAACAGAGTTGTGTAGGTTGTTGGGCAGATTAAAACTAATCAAATCATGATGCAGCTACCTACTAGTTCGCGTTGATGCTTAATTGATTGACCAATTAACTTGCATTGTGATATTGATTTAATAATTCCCATCTTATTTCTGCATGTTATGCCTGTGAATTCCTGTTAGCTGATTGTATTTATCAATTTTCAATGGAGATACTTATCCACTATTAATGTTCCATTTGTTGACAATAAATACTTTATTGACCCTTCTTCCCAAATTAATTATGTCTTCCTTTATGCAGTTCTACACGTTCCTTGAGACTACTGTTGTGACTCTAGCATTACTGCCACAGTTTATTGCATTCTTCAGTGATGGGGAGATACCTGGGACTCCGGGAACTCTTGCTACCACTTTCCTTGCGTTTGGTAAGGTGTAGAAACCCTCTCTTACATAGGCATGCAATTTCCTATTTATTTACACAATTCTTGTGAATCGCAGTCTTCAATCTTGCTTTTGCTTTGAGTGTATTGGGATTTCTGATCATGCACATATCATTGGTGGCTGGTAATACCACAACCATTGAGGTATTACTCCTTTCTGACTTTTGGGTTGAAAGTTTAATGGTGAACTGCTATCACTTATTGTAAAGGGAAACTATTGCTAAAAATTGGTGTTTCTCCGTGTCTTGGGTTTAGCCGTTCAGGAAGGTTTGTTTGCTAGATCAATTGTCTAAGCATGTTTATTTTGGCTCGTTTTGATTGACCACCTCATAAAAGTCGTTTTCTTGCAAAATCATGGAGGTCAGACTCTTCATATTTTCTCCACCACACAAAAAGAAACAAACAAACAAAATTGAAGTAGAGAGATTCCTCGTCCATTTTTGCTTTTCCCCACATCTTTTTTTTCCTTTCAAAACTCAAATCTACGAAGAACTTCATTTTACCTGGAGGATCCATTGGTGGCTTCCCAAGGGAGAAAATGATCCTGTAACTCTTCTTCAGCCAGACTTGGGCAGGATAGCAGAGGAAAATATAAAGTTGGTTATCCTTTTAATAGGCTTCTTATCCATATTTGGACTGTATTCTCTTTTATCACTGTGCCTCACAATTACTAGAGGCCGCCTCCTTGCATAGAATCCTTCTGCTGCCGATGCCACTTAAAATCTGACTTTGGCCCTTCAAACTCCATTCTGAAATGGTGGAAAATACATTTGCCGTGACTATTGCACTAAACCACATGGTTTACCTGAAGAAACCACATCTTTACATCTTCTAATGATATGCCTTCCTCCAATTAGATGCTTGAAGCTCAAGCTCTTATTTTCGGATTCTAGGTTTCATGAACCAACTGCTACTTTGAGGCCACTGCTTGTGCTTCCCTTGGTATGAAATAAATCAGAAATGAAAAATGTTTTGGATAAGAAATGAGAATCCCTCAAGATATTTGAACTTGAAGTTTCCGCAGTTAATTGCCCCCTTTTACTGACAGGATTCTGAGTATTCTTTGCCGCATTAAAACACTTCTTATACTTGCAGGCATATGAGAAGAAGACCACTCCAAAATGGCGTTATGATCTTGGTCGAAAAAGGAATTTTGAACAGGTTAGTTGAGTTTGGAAAAGATTGAGATTGTCAATTGTATGCTTTTACCATGGTTGCTCTCAGTTGCAAGGTAATAATTGATGCATCTTATGTAGCATTATGATCTAAATTATAGATTAAAAACTCGTGTAAAGGTACAAGATCAAGGGCGGTAATCTCTTTTTTTTAAAATAAAATAAAAATTGGTAATGTTGCAAGGGAGGTAATCTCTTTTAGCAGGTGCTATCCATGTTCTCCATTTTTTGGGGTCTGTATGTTTGAGACTGGGTCGACTACTTCCAATTGCGCATGGCAATTGTGTTAAATTTAACATATACTTGTAGAGAATCGAACTGAAAGCTTCACCGTAGCAATAAAGGGGAAAAGAGGAATACTTCTTTATATAGGGTTAGGAAGCAGTTAACACCAATTCAGTTGTTACTCAGAATGTGTATATCTACTCATGCTTACCACCTGTGTTTGAATCAATTTCTGAAAAGTGAGGACATCATATAAAGAAGTGGTACATCGATGTATGCTTGTACCTTTTATATAGAAAAGCTTGGAGCAAAACTTGATTATGCCTTCTTAACCTGCTTGCTGTATCTCAATTGTCTTTGTTTTCTAGCATTATATCACATTAGTTATAGAATCCATGATATGCCTCAGCATATGGGGAACCAACCTGGTCAAAACAATGGTACTTCTATTTATCTTGTTTTGCTTTTATTAAAGATAAGGGATATGGAGAACCTAATCAAGGAGACAAGATATGCATGAAACCTCAGTACCAAAATACTGAAAAGAGAGTTTGTAAGTGGTGGGGTCTGACTCACCTAACCTTTAACCCAAAGTATTTTTGTTGACTATCACCTTCACATACCTTTAGTTGTTTGAATCACTCAGGTGAACTTAGTTATTACCTGTCCGACACTTTCCAGACACTTGTCATTGGTCCTTGATACACTCTCCTTTAAAGATCCACAGGATCAGTCTGTTCATTAATATGGAGCATATAGAGAATGCATTAGGGGCCTCCGAGTATTCAAACGTTTGTCTTGAAAGGAGGTGTTGGTGTTGGCCACAGCAAAACAAGTTACTGTTGGGAAAGACCAAATCCCAAGCTTTTCTAGCATAGGCTGTGTGCCTGTGTTTTTCTGTCTCCTCAGATTCATGTACAGTTGTTTGATGTCTTTTAGCTAGAGTTCTTTATTGAGTATCTACATCCATCTCATTTGACCCTTCTGAGGTTGTAATTTTATGCATCAGGTTTTTGGCCTGGACAAGCAGTATTGGTTCATCCCCTCTTACTCAGAAGAAGATCTAAGAAGGATGCCTGCTCTTCATGGTCTTGAATACCCATCAAAGCCCGAACTCGAATCCCAAGAATTCTAGGTGTCATCAAGTACATTACCAAGCTGAGTATGTTTTTTGTAACAATCATAGAGTAGTAGTACCTAATGATGCCCGTCCCGCAATCGCATCTACTGGTGCTGTGCAGAAACTACACAAAGGATATAGCCAAATGATGCAATGATGTAGTGATAATGGGTTCTGTAAGATAGAAGTTTTGCTTATGTCTCAAGTCTGATACAGGTTTTCTTGTAAGATGATATCACAACTGTTTGATTAGAAATGTAGATTTTGATCTTTGATTTCAGTGTTAAAATGTAATTTTATTGTTCGTAATTGTGTAAAGTGGTTCTAATCTCTCTTGGAATTGTCTTAAAATTGCATAATCCGGTATTGTCACTCTATCTAAGTTGCATACTAGGATGTGTATATTTTTACTTACACTCTGTTTGTTTGGATCATTGTTACCCATTGTTTTATAATGTATTGTATTGTATTATATTGTACTGTATGATAGATACAATGTTTGGCTAGATTATATTGTTTGTTGTTGTTTAATAACATTTTAATTGCTTGGTTTGATTGTAATTTGTATCGTACTGTATTATAATTTATAAAATTTACTAAAAATATCCTTAATTATTCTAGGATAAGAGGTTTGACTAGAATTAAATAATATAAGGTAAGGGTAAAATAGTATTTTGAAATATTCTATAAAGATATAATTAGAAAAAGAAATTAAAGTAAACAATGGAAACACACCAAATCGATTGTTCCATAAAATAGGGGTTTTCATTGTTACGTAACAACGAAATTTAACAATATAATACAATATATTTTAAGTAACAATCAAACAAACATTGTATGTATAGTAACGATACAATACAATACAATGGGTAACAATGATTCAAACAGAGTGTTAAAGTTAAATACACAAATGATATTTCCACTCATATAATTGATTTAACTAGAATGAATTGACATATAGTTTTTTATTTTATAGCCTGCCAAAATGATTGATAAATATTCCGTTAATAATGTTCTTTTCTTAACCACTTCACACATTTAATTAAATTCTTGAATGATTTTTAAACTTCAATATTTATGTATTTTCATTTTAATTAGTTTTATATTATATATGTCCAAAGAAAATGGAGAAAAGAGAGGACTGGAAGGTTCTGAGTTGAAAGAGGAACAGAAAAAGGGAAGAATCTAGACCCCCAACACGTGTCACTCTCACACCAGCTCCTTTTCAAATACAATTTTTTTTGAATTTCTAGAGTGTGCTGTGTTGTGAGAATATGCAGAGGGGACAATTTCAACAGTCCATTTGAAAGATTTGGAGGCATAATGTCAAGTATATTTGGATTTGGAGGAAGAGACCCATTCGATGATCCATTCTTCTCTCGCCCGTCTCAGACCTCCATGTTACATCCAACAACTCCTTCTGATGATGAATCTAATAGGCCAGTCATTCAAGAGATTGATACGGACGAAGATGCACCGCTAGAACCAGATGAGGAGAACGGGGACGTGAATGGCTCTAAGAAGAAAAGAGATAGGGCTTATGCTAACAGAAATCCACTTGTTGAACATCCTGAAGACCTAACTGATGGTAACTTTTCTATCCTCAACTAGATTCAATAAAACAGATTACGCTACACTGTGTGTCCTTGAGGAATTTGATCTCTTCACTGTTGCTCCATGATAGAATGGTATAACTAGTTCTATAAACAAGTTACTCGCGTTTTTTATGGTGTCTGTCCATAGTAGAATTCATGCTGGTTATCCTACTTATGCTGCAGACCATAGCAAGAGCAGCAAGATCATAAGCAAAGATGTGACTCGTGGAATGAAAGACATGAAATTGGAAGGAACGCAATCGAAGCCTCAGAGCATGAGCTATAGAAGAGTTACATATGGTGGAATAGACGGGACATATTACACTGCGACCACCTCACGGAGGGCTGGAAATGATGGAGTATGTTCTCTTCAATTGGTATCCTGGGTTGATATTCTTGTTCTTACTAGTTCTGACAGTGTATGTGTTGTTAAACAGAGGGTGTTAGAGGAGAGCAAGCAAGCAGATAGCACAACTGGTCAAGCAACACATAGAATTTCCAGAGGAATTCAGGATAAGGTATAATATATGTTTTATTAGTCTTAGATATTTGGCAGTGTTCTTAAAATATTTGAAGATCTTATGATCTGCTTTATGTTTTGAAGTTTTATAATACATGTTTTATTAAACTTATACTTTTGGCAGTGCCCTTCCTATTCTAAGAAGGCATATAATCATTAATTTACTTGTTTAAGGAAGAGGTGATGGTGATTTAGTCAAATGCTCCTTATGATTAATGCTATCAAATGATTCTCATAGTAGGTAGCCAAAAACCTTAAACGACAGATTAAAATGAACGAGAGAGTATATGTGGTTTCGAGGATTAAATGAGTTGGCAACTAACTATTGAGCTCCTAGATTTCCATGTGCATCTTAGTGGATTCTAATTCTTGTGTTTTCTGCGCCAGAGAGATGCTATTAATCTGTTTCAGTATCGATAAACAAGCGGACAGCATTAATTGGTCTGACTTTTCTCAAATGAATCTTTTCCTAGGCTGGCACCACTTTATCCGTGATAGCAGTGATGTGAAATTCTAAAACATAGTTTCCATGTGTATTATTGGGGGGTATTTGAATTTTTGCCCTAACAGAGACCTTATTTTGACGGATACAAAAGAGTTTCTTATTGACATTTTTCTGTCATTCCTAGGGGCATTCGTTGACAAGGAAACTTGCCTCAGATGGTAAGGTGGATACAATGCAGACGTTGCATAATCTAGAAGAAGGTAGCATTTTCAATAAGATTGCTTAGATGCTCAGTTTTTATTTTCCATTGGACTGCAGATTTTTCATCTTGTGTTGTTTGTTTCTTTATTGTGCAGATGAATTAGCTGGCTTTGAACAGACATGGAATGGCAATGCTAATAACGAAATCCCTGGCTGGAATAGTGGATTTGATTTCCACGCGAATGCAGGTTAGTAAGCAAAAGGATATGCCTTTCTCTACTCATGTTAAATAGGACTACGTACATCAACAGATTGCATTTGCACATATCTGATGGATTTCTGCAGTCTTCTCAGTTTATTTTATTGCATTCCTACCGCCAGAGTTAAGCTGAGCTGGCCCGAGACTGGCGGATCTTGTAGTATGGATGTGGGTTCATTTGAACACACATCTGTTTAATTGCTTAAAATACTAAACTATGAACCTAGAGAACTCAAACTAGGTGATAGGTTCATTGGTTAGAACACGAGTTGTGAACCCATAGTATTAAAATCCTGGATTTTCCTCATCTTTATAAGGAAGAGCGTTTAATCAAACTTTGTAGTGACATACAAATGTAATAAGTAAGACAACTAACTCTGTGAAGAATTACTTGAACACAAATTGATCACCTTTCGTCAACAATTGGTACAGATGAAGAGAGCTGCTTCTTAATCTGTTGCTAATACTCTTCACTCATAATTTACTGCACTCTCAAGTTGCTAATCCGTTGAATATCAATTCTGTAAGAACCTGGCACAGAAAATACCTGTTTGAAATCTTTTGTTAATGGGTTATTAGTTACAATTACAAAATTGTTTACCCCAAAGTCGACAAAAATCTAAAATGAGCTTGGACCAGCCAATCTCCTGTAGGTTTTTGTTGCCAATTCAGATATTTAGGAATGATGTGTTTTCTTATATTGAAGGGAACTAAAGCTTCAATGATCCTCATAATAGTATACTATCTCGGTTATGCAGGAACAAGCAGTAATTGGCTGACGAATTGGGAAGCTGGATTCCGAGATCCATTTAGTGGTGTGAGACCAAGTAACAACAGTGCTCAGTCAGGGACGCAAAGTGGAAGACCAAAGAAGGTCGTTCGGATCAATATAGAGTGAATGTACATAGAGTGAATGTACGTGTTCACCGGATTGATATCGAGCCATGGAATGGAGAACCTCCTGGGTAGAGGACTATACTATATTTGGTAGTTGCTTTAGGGTCTTGGTGAGAGGTAATAAAAGCAGTCGTAGGTCTATAAAGAAGGGATCGATGTATCTGGGGTTGTTGTAATATTAATGCTTTATCCAGAGATGTTCTTGTTCGACTTGACATAATACAATTGATTAAATAGTACTCTTTCAAGCAATATAGAAGAAAAAAACAAGTATATTTAGTCAAAGTATCCGTTATGGAATGTCGAAAACATACCTTAAAGTATTTCAATTTTTTGAGTTTTATACTTAACTATTATGTGTGAGTTTTTTATTTGAACTTGTCAAATATTTATTGGAACATATTTGAACTATAAGTTGTTCACTTTTCTTATCATTTAGGTAGGAAAAGTGAACAACTAAGTAATAGTTGAAGTATGTTTTAATAAACATGAAGGAAATTTATACATTTGATAGTTCCAAGTATGAAATATAAAAATTTGAGATTTTTAAGTGTGTTTCTGACCCTAACTATATAATAGTTGGTTTTTCTTCATTGAATTTTTTCAAAGCAACAGTACTTCGATCTATTTCTGTTTGTAGAAAATGGAGGTACTTGTACAAAATTTAAACCTCCAAAAGTGTTTGGTGTAATTAGAAACCAAAACAAAATAAATAGTACTACAAAACAAAAGAGTAATTGGTCAAAATAGTTTGGCAAAATGCATATTCGAGAAGCTTCACTCATAATCTCATATTGATAAAATACAAATTCAAGAAGCTTCACTCATATTCACTATGGGGACCATATATTATACACTAAAGCACTGCCTTTTACCTGTTTCACACACAAGGAAGCAGAGGCAAGCAAGTAGCAGAAGCTCTCAAAGGTGAATTCTTTCAACTGATTTTCCCAATTCTGAATCTTGAAATTTACTTAGGAAATTCTTTTCAGTTGTGGCAATGAAGTTTCTAAGTTTTTTATTCAAGAAGTGAAAAGGTAGCTACTTTCTTTTTTATGGGGTTTGTACTTTCTTTTTTATGGGGTTTGTTCACAGTGATCATCTTCTTGAAACAGTGAATAATGTCGAAGCTATTTGGTGGAAAAAACCCTTTTGATGATCCATTTTTCACTGAACCATTTGGTGGTTGGTTTGGTTGGAACGACCCGTTTGACGTACAGCAAGACTCTCGGAAGCAAATTACCATTGAAGAGTTAAATCCTGAAGGTGATGGTGGTCAGGCTCAGGAAAATTCTGAACCAACAAAAGACTTGGTTGTTAAGAACAAGAAACCTAGTCAAAAATCAAATGGTTAGTGCTCTTATTTTAACTTAGGGGTTGTATGTATGGTTGATTCTACGACATAATTAATCCCAGCATAAAATTACCCCGTATAAAAATAATACAGTGGTTTGTTGGTTGAGTGTTTCGTTGTAACATTAAGTTACAAAGGAATTTATGTATTGCTAATACTTGAATAATTTAACACTGTGCTAGATCAGAACGTGAACTCAGAGAATAGGGGTATACAAGTGAACCACCTAGAATCGATCCATGGCCGCTATCGCCCCCTAACTTTGTTCTATTCTATTTGCCTTCTCCTTAATTTCCATAAATGCGGCTAGCTCTTTTGCTAACGACTGTACGACCATGCATAACTGATCTTTGCATTACTAATACCCGCGTAACTAATTCCTATGTTATTAATACTTGCATAACTCTAACCACCAACTAAACGACTCCTTAGTGTTAAGCTTAGCTGATTATTGTTATGCATACATTTCAAGTTTTGTGTCTATGGAATGTTTGTGATAGTACTTTACAGGGAGCCAGAGTTTCAGCTACCGCAGAGTTTCTTATGGTGGTTTAAATGGAATGTACTATACTTGCTCTGAAGGCAGAATGATTGGTCCTGATGGGGTGAGTAGTTTTTACTGAGATCAGATCAGTACCTACTCTTACTTCTTCCATGATTATTAGTTTATTACATTGTTTTGAACATAATTGTTATGTTTTTGTTTTTCTGCGTAGGTGGTTCTAGCAGAAATGAAAGAAGAGGACAAGATGATTGGGGAGTCTCTGCACACAATCTCCAAAGGGATTCACAACAAGGTATTTCTCTTCTTAATAAATGTATAGTTAAGGAGCACAGTTCATTGGTCCTCTTCAACTTTTTAGGTTATTTCAGATGTAAATTCTTTCGAGATTGAAATTCTTCGTTTAGGTGTTTGTCAGGTTATCAGATTCTACGACACTCGGAAGTTGTATAAATTGATTAAAGCGTGCATTGTCATCCTGATTATATTCATCAACTCGTGAGCTTTATGCAGGGCCATTCTGTCACAACAAAGCATAGTTCAGATGGGCGAGAGGACACACTGCAGACTTTGCACAATCTCGATGAAGGTATTTTCATTTCAACAGCATGATAGATGACATTCCTAATGCATTACAGGAGATCTAATATAATGGTATTTGGTTTACATTTAGATGAGCTTGGTGACTTTGAACAAAATTGGAAAGCTAATGCTGATAAGTATTTCCCTGGACGGGATAAGGGTTCAGCCTGCTGGAGAATCAAGGTAGGTTGTTTGAGTACTATCATCTCGAGTTCGTGTCACTCATATCTTGACGTCATCCATGAGAATACAGGAATGACTGACAGATTATTAATATTTGTTGCTTCTGTCCGGTTAACATGATTTTCCAGTTAACCTAATTGTTCAGCATTTCACAAGATAGATGCAAATATTGGCTAATCTGTTTGTTTAATCGATCACTGCTTATGAGGCAGAAGAAAACAGATAGGTGGTAGGACTCTTTTGAACTCTGATAATGTAAATTGACAACAATATAATGTATTTACCATATAAGAGTGATTGAACACTGCTTAGGAGCAGAAGAAGACAACTGGGTGAAAGAATACAAGTCCTAGAGCTGCTTAGCTATATAGGCTGATCCTTACTCCATGACACATTGTGTTCACTGTAAAAGATCAAAGCCACTTGAGATCAGTGCACAACATAAATATCTCTAGCCTAAAATTCAACCACATACCTATGGTTAAAGCTTTGCATTAAGAATCATGTCTAAAACAACTAATTATGTTATTTATTTTACAATCTTCACTAATTTCTTGTGTGTGTTAGACATATGAAGATTGCTGCATCTTTTTTATGTGCTTGTTAATGTCTTCATCCAAATTAGCTATCAAGAAGCAGAAGTAATGCTAGACATGCTTCTCCTTGCATTGCATTGGTTCTCCGCTTTATTTACCATAAAACTCTCATTTCATTAAGAAACGGAGCAAATTGTAGCTGCTTCAGATTTGAAACATTAAACCAGCTATAAGAGTTGATGTATAATCCAAACTTTTCCTGCATAAATGCACCTATTCAAAACAAAAGAGTGTATAACAGAACTATCTAGCCACTCGAGTCCAGCAAGAAGACCATATTTGACATGAAGCTTCTAGATGAAAAAACAAGACCATAACTTGGTGACTGAACTATGATTACTAAGGCCATGAATACATATCTTTTGCTGATTAATGTGCAGCATTGCTTCAATTACAGATGTAACACTAGTATATCTCCCAATGCAGTTACCGAGGATTATATGAGTTCCCCTGTTCACTATAGTCACAGAGAATTTGAACATACACATTTTGTTTGAGTATTATGGTTATGCTGTATGATTTTTTACCCAAAAGTCAATAATATATGTTATAATGTATTCCACTAAATCGACACAAGAATGCTACTGTTGACGGAAGGAGCTAAATCTCTTGTGTTAATCAGACTGCACTGATATGTTGCAAGAGTAGTTTTGACATTCTATTCAACATGTGTAGGGTCCATAAGCAGCTTGTGGGATGAGTTTGCAAATTGGAGGGGCTTGGGTGGTTATGAACATCCAGCTCTGGAGTACTATGGAAATACAGGACCGGTGGTGCAAGTCAGTGAATCAGGGGAAGATTCTTCTAGGAGAGCCACAAGAAGAGTCCCAGTGGAGTAGAGGGAGGCTTCCTTTGATGATGAAATTAGTGGTACCTCTTATATCCTACCAGTGTAGCCTACTTACATGTTTTGACCTGTTCTATTATCAGAGTTTAGTGTCTCTTGTCGGTTCGCGTTGAGCATGTTTCAGTAAGACTCTGTTAAAAAACTGGATTTGATCAGAAGTCAAGAGTAATGTACTGTGTGAGTGATCTACGTATCTATTCTAATTATCAACGAATTCTGCAAGTTTTAGGGATGTTTTGGTGTTCTTTTCATTTTTCCTGCTAGCCACTAGTAGATATCTATTACTTAAATCGATAAATAGAAAGAATTAAAGAGGGGTGGCTCTGCTTATCGATGTATTTGTGTATATTTAGAAGATTTAAATCAGCCAAAGATAAAATAATAAGAATATTTCTATTCATAGAATTTGTGATTGCGTTTTGACAAATGATAATGGAGGGGCTGAATCTAACCACCCTCCATATTCATTGGATAATAAATACAGCTATACCATATCAATTATAATGCTATTTTATAGTGTGATTCTATTCTTGCACTTAATGTAGATTATATCTTAATGTATCATATAAAACGGTACTTTAAGCTTAGATGATACGTAATTCGTCAAAGCAGAATATTATGAATTGCAGTCTTCACCTAATTACAAAACTCAACGAGAATCAATTTAGTATAAATTAATATGAATCAAAATAAAATAAAAAAATAACTCTTTTTCAAATTTTGAATGAAACTATACCGTGAGAAATTCAAACCAGCGGTTAGTAAAGTTTGGGGAGACAACGTTTGGGTCAAAGACTCCAAAAGTAATTCTAGAAGTTTAGATGATGAATTCAATTATAATTTATCCTTTGGAGTAATATTTAACTGATGTTATTTGGTGTGTTGTAAATTTGAATTAATCGAGTCAGCTAATTTCGAATATTTCAATCGTGAAGCACAAAAGAGAATGACAGGATCCAAGCAGGTAGGGTTGTGCATAAAATAACGTAGACATTTGATCAACTTGTCTGAAGAAAAATTGGTAGAAAATTAAAATATGAGGATTGTTCTTCCCTTAGGTTGCAGCAAAATATAGTATGATTCACTTGGAACAAAACATTACAGCTAAAACTACACGTGAGAGTACGTACCTCGAGAGTTTTAGTGTTGAGTTTTCCGTTAAGAAATAATCAATTAATTAAAAGACTAAATTTGGAAATATTTAAGAAATAATCAATTGATTATCATACTTTTAAAATTTAGTTTTAACTGAACGATATTGTAATTTATAGCAATAAAATTTCTTCTGTCATGCAGAAAGTTAAAATTAAAGAAGTACTAAAAGAAAAAAAGTCATTTTTTTAAAAAATCAGAAAGACTATACTATTAAAATAGACACTCAAATTCCAGAACATTTCTGCATTACGTTCCCACAAAGTTGAGAACTTTGGTTAATCAATTATCAATTATAAATATATAGAATTATAGATCATGCCTCCCTATATGTAAGTAGCAGAGGTTTTAGTCAAAACAAAGTGTATGTAGACCAATTTCAAGTTGCTTGTCAGAAGAAGATTATAGAAAGAGCCTTTATAATTAGTAAAGAATTCTAAAATAAAAAATCCACCAAATCTGAATAAAAGGGATAGATGTTTAAATTAATTAGGGTTACGTAAATAGCTAATTAAATAATATATTATGACTATATTTGTGTATGTGTGTGACTTTGAAAATAGCCACATAATATCGTATGTTTTATTATAATCGTAAATTTAACAGTATTCACACTTGAAAATTGGAGCATTTAATTTTGCGTTAGGCATATACTGTAGTCACTACTCATGTCATTTAAAAGTTAATGATTTGTTACGCTTGTAATTAATTAGGAAATAGTATAGTCTAGATGTCAATAACATTAGAATTAAGATCATATATGGATTGATCACTTGACTAATTTTTTGATCTACCTAAATTGTTGATTATATATTTTGAATAGTTTTCATCTTTTGAACTAGTTTTGTGGTTGAATTAGGTTTAGTGTCTATTTTCTTAACATTTTGTTAGAGTCGGGCTCAGTCAATACTTCTTGTTTCACCCAATGTTGAGCCTTTACCTACGTACAAGTTGGCAGGTCTGATCGCGGTCACTATATCAAAAATGATCTTTAAGTGCCGCTAAATATTTATTTTTAGCGGCAATTAGCTCTCTTTGTAAATGTCCCTAAATGCTTTAGCGACATTGGATCTAATGGCACTTAACTAATGCCGGTAAAGACTTTAACACTTTTTATTAATATGTATATTTATTGCCGCTAAAAATTGTTTTGTTATAGTTGGTGGATTTGGTGGTATTGAATTATTCCACATCGATGGGTGCAAGAAGGGCAAATTTGTCTCATATTTGACAATCCTCATCCCTTGAACTATTTTTTGAGGTTGAGTAAGCCTATTTTGATCTTAATATAAACCAATTTACTCGATAAAATTTTTCGTGACTGTTATCAATAAAAAGACATCGATCGATATTCACTGAAATAGACTAAATGCATCAAGTTAGCTGGGATACTACCGTTATTAAAAATAAAAATAAAAAAGTTTTGGAGAGTTTGTGTATGCCCAATTGTCCATTAAGATATATTATTATAAAAAAATAATTAATCGATATCCATCATAGTTCAGCCCTGCCAAATTAAACTAATATCATGCTTTAGTTAAAAAGGAAAAGGTAAAAGAATACGTAATAGAGAAAAAGTTTTGTATGTGTCATTTAATTAGGAGAACTGAGAAGTACGTAATTGTGGATTAAGAGCACTTATTAGTGCTGCATTTACCTACTTGCTTAAAGTCCAAACAAACCTAATTCAATTAAAAAAATTATCTATATAAATACTTTAGTAATTTAGCTAGGTGCTATCTACTCCAAATATATATATCTTAGTTTATTTGCCATGCTATAGTAAATCAAAATGAGAAGAAAGAGACTTTCCGTTTTCAGAGACTAAGTGATTATTTTTTTCCATAAGAAAAAGACCACAAATTTAATTTGATCTAATGAAAGCATGCATAAGAAAAAGAACAAATAGAAGTTCTAATATTTTTTCTTAAAAAAAGAGTTGAGCTGAATCATGTGACTTGACCTAACCAAAAAAATAAATATAAAGATAGAATCAATTTTCTTCAAACGTAACCTTTCGTCGTCCTAATAACTACGTATCTAATGGATTAACCATAATTAATTTAGTGAAAGAAACATAAACATATAAAATATTGGAACAACTAATTATTTGGTATGTGTACATCAAATCATTTTAATTACCACTATTGAGTGATAAATAGAGCTAACATTCCTTTAATTTCGTCTTATTTAATGTATATAAAATGTGTTAAGTACTATTTAAAAAGTAAAATAGTTTTTTCTTTCATCATAATTTTCTCAAACTTTTGTTTATTGAATTATTAGCTATGTTACATTATAATGCTTTCCGTACCGTTTTCAAATATATAAAATTTATATCTGTATTCATAATTAACTTAAGTACTTTGATCCTCATATCTTGATCTACTCCATATAGATTGGGACAACAAAAGTACTAAATAAGAGTAATGTATAATGTTTCAACACCATTTGAATTGAAATAGAAAAAAGAAAATTTTTGAAAGTTGAATTAATCATGATCAAACGATAAACTTTTTGTGTATGGCATGCACTTATTACTTCGTTGCATACATTGATACGAATATAACTTTTCAACTGTTCATTTTTATTTGTCTATAATAGATTTTACAATTCTTTTAACATTTGGAAAAATGACAAATATACCCTCGAACTATCGTAAATGGTACCCTCCGTCGTACTTTTGGGACATTGGTGCCCCTGCCGTCCAAAAACTAGAGCATATATGCCCTTCACTCTAACGGAAGACTAAATAGGTACATGTGGCGCAATCTTATCTGTCGACCCGATATTTAATGAATGTCGGGTCGGTGGATAAGATTATGATACATGTATGTCAGTTAGTATAAAGGGTATATATGTTCTAGTTTTTAGACGGCAGGGGCACCAATGTCCCAAAAATGTGACAGAGTGTATTTACATATCATTTACGATAGTTTAGGGTACATTTGTCCTTTTTCCCTTTAAGAAATATACCTAAATAAAGTAAATATTTTATCAAAATATCCATATTAATTATGTATAGTTTCATTGGACTTGGAAAATGAATAAATTATTTTTAAGGATAAAATAAGAAAAATAATCATTTTTTTATACGTAAAATAGAGAAGTAAAAGTAATATTTTATTTTTAATATAGTGAATAGTAAAAATGAACGCGTAAAATACACTCTAAGTAACACACTATTAAGAAAGTGACGTTCTCTAGTTTAGTCAATAAATTTGAAATCTTGATTTAATAATTAATAATGCCATTTGGCATGGCTGAATCTTCTCATACATACCTTCCTCAGTTGTTCCTATGTAATTATTATTCTAACTTAACCTCATTATTAATTATAAAGAATTGATGGAACACAATTAATTAATCTTGCCTCCTTGACTATAAATTACATCAAGCTCTTCCTATAATTTTTGTTTAAACAGTCCAAAAAACACTAAGCATAATTGTGAAAGAATGGATTGCTGGTCTGCTGAAAATGCTACCAATGCTTTTCTCACAACTCTCAAAATGGTAAGTATTATTTGAACTTATTATAATTACTAGCATAGCTCAATTCAACACACGTTTGAATTGAATATATGAATCCTTATTGTCCAGATCGCTTGTACAATTTGTATATTTTCAATTATATACTCAAAAAAAATTGTTTTGAATTTATGGAAATTTAGGGTGAAAGAGGAAAAGCACCTGATGTAACGGAGTTTATATCAGCTATGGCGGGTGGAAATAATTCACAACTCATGGTGATGGCATGTACCGGCCACCCTGGATCTGCGCTACTAGGGTTAGGGTTAGTAGCAGCGGCTCATCAAACGGGTGGCCGAGTAGTGTGTATATTACGTAGCGAGGAAGAAATGCATGCAATTAAAGAAACATTAATATTGGGAGACTATGCAAAAATTGTTGAATTTGTGATTGGTGATGATGTTAAAACATTATTGGCAAGTAACTATGAAGGAGCTGATTTTGTACTTATTGATTGCAAATTGGAGGATTTTCAACAAGTGTTTGAAGCAGCACAACAAGGTGTTAATGTTAAAAGTGCATTTATTGTAGGGTACAATGCCCTACAAGAAGGACCTAAGTTAAGTTTTGATCACAAAGGTTATTTTCTACCAATTGGAGAAGGGTTATTAGTTAGTAAAATTAGGGTTTCACAAGGTAAAAATATTGGTGGTGGAAGGAGGAGTCATTGGGTTGTTGAAGTTGATGAATGCACTGGGGAAGAACATCTTTACAGGGTCAGCACTTCTCCAAATACAAATTAAAGTGGTGTCCGAGTCAGTTAATGTCGTTCACACTTCGACTATATATCTCACGAGATATTTTTGCATTAGGTGGAATTTATATGTACCTTTTACATCCCACTTTGTTGACTACTAGTAATTGTTGTAAATATACATCCAATTTCCAATTTTTCAGAGTAGTCTAGACTTTGTAAATTATTAAGAAGAAGTAGGGAAAATGGTAATTATAGTGTCTATATTTGTTTACTAGTACGTAGCTTTGCCAGGATCTGTTAAAATCTTGATCTCCTCCTCGGGGCGAACCTAGATTGATTTAATCGATAGACGATAAAAATAATATCAACTAGTGAAATTTGTTTAACAGGGTTATATAAAAACAAAATGAACAATCTTTGTAATCGAGATTGACATTCCTTTTTTTCTTCTTTGTTCCTCAAATGCTTTCAAGTTGTTTTAACGTTAATATTATAATTTTTTATAAATATTTGAAAATCATTTCAAAAGATTTTATTTTAAATTAAATATTTTGTAAATTAGTATAGTTTGAATTAAAAGTTTAGATATTGAGTTATTTAGTTTATAATTGCGCTCCATAGCAAACATAAATATATATATTTCGCTATACATATACAAAAGAAAGCAGTTGTATAATCTGTTTTGGTATACATATACAAAAAGATCAATTGTATAAAGTGAGAGAGGCGAGTGAGCGAGCGAGATCTGGGAGAGTGGCGAGCAAGATCTGGGAGAGGGGAGAGAGGGGAACGAAAATATATGTATATATACAATTTTCACGCATTTCATACATTTACAAACGCACTTTATACACTTGCATTTGTATAAAAAACGAGAGAGGCGAGGGAGAGAAAGAGAGTGGCGAGCGAGATTCACCAGGAGAGAGATGAAATAGCAACAGTTTGCTATGAGGTACAATTAAATCAAACTATATTTTGGCGAGCAAGATCTGGGAGACGGGAGATAGGGGAACGAAAATGTATGTATATATACAATTTTCTCTCGCTTTATACAAACACAAACGCACTTTATACACTTGCGTTTGTATAAAAATGAGAGAGGCGAGGGAGAGAACGAGAGTGGCGAGCAAGATCTGGGAGCGGGGAGAGAGGGGAACGAAAATATATGTATATATACAATTTTCACGCATTTTATACATTTACGTTTTTGTAGAAAGTGAGAGAGGCGAGTGAGCGAGCGAGATCTGGGAGAGGGGAGAGAGGGGAACGAAAATATATGTATATATATAATTTTCACGCATTTTATACATTTACGTTTTTGTAGAAAGTGAGAGAGGCGAGTGAGCGAGCGAGATCTGGGAGAGTGGCGAGCAAGATTCACCAGGAGAGAGGTAAAATAACAACAATTTGCTATGAGGTACAATTAAATCAAACTATATTTATAGCATTTAATTTGAATTAATAGTTTTCTATTATATACCATTTTCCCTTATTAGTATTAATTCGGGCCATTTAAATCGGCTAGGATTGCAATATCTTGTCATACTTTTGCAACCCCTATTTTTCCCTACTGGTTGAATCGAAGCCCAATTCACTACGACACAGCAATCCAATCTCTACGACCCAACAATACAATTCCGACTATCCAATTCATACCGGGGAAACTTAGCAAATGTCTCATAAATACAGATTAATTATAAATAAATATATTCTTTTATATTGATGTTCTATTAAATAATTACAATAAATATCTCAACTGATTATTTCGCTAAACTAATATTATATATATATATATATATATATATATATATAACCATACTAATAAGT